TTTCAAGGTTCCAAGTGAAGCCCATGAAAACTGGTGACTGTGAGAACAGTGCATCCTTGGAGAGTTCCCAAGGAATGCCAAGTTGGTTGGTGATGTTATCAATGTGTCTGAAGGAGTAGGCATATGGATCCTAGAGTGATGAGCCATTTTCTTGGTCTTCAAGGTTTTGTAATAGGAGCTGGCAGTCTTCTGCAAACTGTTCATGTTCTCTGTTCACTAGGAGGGCACCTTTGTACCAGATTCATCCCCCATCTATTCTTATGCCTCCATTCTGTGTGATTAAAGTGGCTTTGCAATTTCTGGTGAGGTTGTAACCATCTATCTCAGACTTAGGGAGCCATATGAAAAGGTGGTCATCAACCCAGGCAATCATGGGGCCAATCCCATTTGCTCTCATGATGTCCAGGCCTGCATCTCTGACTCCTCTGTAGACACCTGCCAAGGGCCCATATCTAAAGCACAGGGCTGTGTCTACTGTGAAGTTTGGTGGGGTGGTTGTGAGGTGCACTACCAGGCCCAGCCATTGGGAAGGGTGTATGGGGATGGTTCTGTAAGCTTCTGCTACATCTCTGGTCGCTCCTTGACATCCTGGGGGGAGTGAAGCAATCAGTGTGCACACTGTGAGAAATGTTTCCCAGGTGCAGGGGAAAAGAGAGGAGTCAACTTGTGAGTTGATTGAAGTAGCAGCACCATGTCTAGTTATAATAGGGTAAGACAAGTTCTGTATTAGGCAGTACTTTCCCAGTTTACTGGGTTTTGGTATGATACTTAGGGGGGAGGACTGGAATGGGCCTATGTACTGCTTGAGCAAATGGGGGGGAAAGGTCCTAGGTATTGTCCCTTGATGAACTCCCTATTGATTATCTCCTGGAATGCATGGTAATGCTGGTCGATGGATGGGTTGTTTGGTGGGGTGAATGTGCTGGGTATATTAGGTATGCAGACATAGAATCCATGGACTAATTGGTCAACTTGAGATGGGTATCTTGATGTGGGATTGGAGCTCACTAGTAAATTCTTCCAGGCTTGGGGGTGGTAAGGGGTGTGGGCAGTTCCATGTTGCCATTCATCAAGCAGGTTGGTGGTCTGGGCAGTCTTGCACACCATGCTTAGGGTCACCACAGCCTGAGCATTCATGGCAATGTAGTTTGCTGGTGCAGCCTTGAGGGTGTTGGAAATCCCAGCAGAGAACTTGGCCATTCTTGTTGCCTGTGTCACATCTGTGAGCCTTGTTGGTTGTCCCAAACAAGATCAGTAAAGTGTAAACACAATAGCAGAATCACTTACTCTTAGGAATGGCAAGAAATGCAAGAATGGATACTGCATTGTGATGTGCTCACCTGACATTATTGTGGACATTTCCAAGGGAAGTATAGAGGGGATAGTACTCATTATGGCCTGTTCCTATGGACACAGTGGTTTTATCACTGCTGAGGATCACCAGCACAAACATTGCACCATGCATTTCAGGATCCTCTGCAATAAGTTCCTGAGTTTGTTTGTATGGTCAGCTCACAAGGTAGTAAGAGTTGAAGGTGTGATACTCATGGACTGATCATACACCCACTGGCCTGACATCAAGTCACATACTTCCTGGCACTGTGAGTCAAAGTGTGAAAAGGTGGTGAAAACCAACCAAAACCAACACTGAAAACAACAAAGAGCAAGTGGTGGTGTACCTCCATGGAACCTGGAGGGCAGAAGAAATCTAATGTGGGGTGGGGACTTCAAGTGGAGTGCTCCTGGCACAAGTCATCAATGAGTTATGCAGGAGTAGAGGAATGAATGATGGCTGGATGGGGATGCTGAACAGAGTGAAGGTGTTCAGCTGAAATTACTCTGGAGTGTTGATCTTTAGGACATGCTCCTGGCACAAGTCAATGACAAGTTACACAGGAGTGAAAGAATGACCAAGCAAGAGTTGCTGACTAAGCACAGATGAGACTGCAGATAATGATGATGGTAGATAGACCCTTCCAAATGAGCCTCAACTACCAAGGATGGCAAATTATGAGAGATAGACCCCTTTGTGGAGTGGATAGCTAAGTACATGGGGGTTTATATACTGTGAGGGGAGCACAGCCTATGATGAATGAGGCACAAATGCTTGGTGAGCAATGAGTAAGGACTGAGTGATCATGATGAGTAAGCAAGAAATGAAAAGTAAGTAAGCAAAGAAGATTGGTAAGTATTGGCAATAAACAAGTCAAGGATAGTCAAAATATTACAGAATGAGTCAAATAATGTCAGAAACTGAGTAAGCACACTGATATCACATTAGGGGGGTGACAATGCAAGTCAGATATCAGCCAAGACATCATTAGACCCAAAGATGGCATGACAGATGGACAGTGTTTCCAGATAGGGAAGTATTAATTCCAGAATTGAAGGGCACGGGTCAGGCATCAAAGGGCTAGGGTGTTGGGGGTCTGTGGGGCAATGGGAGCATAAGCAATGATGTCTCCCACCCTTTCATCCTCTCAGTGAAGTTAACAAAAGCTTCATGAATGGGGCTCTGACAGAGGAGGAACAGAAGGGGGGACATCTTCTGCTGGATCTTGCAGTAAGAAGGCAAGATGCACATCATACTCATCATGGATGTGGTCAGGGAGGCTGGAGAACAGTAGATTATGCTGCAGCTGTCACAATGCAGGGAGAGTGACAGATGAGATTGGAATGAAGATGGTGCAGGGAGCAGGGAGGAATGATCCATATGCTTCATCAAGAGGGGAGACTGAAATGACCACATAAGGCCTTTCTAACTGAGTGACAGACCTGAGGCAACCAAAGAACATCCTTCTGGAAGTCATACTGATGAGGAGAACACACTGACCAAGTTGCATGGGATGGGATGGGGCTGATGATGATGGAATGAACCAGGGGGCTTCAGGATGGAAGCTGGTGGGAATGCCTGGCAGATATACATAGCCACTGTCTCTGGAAAATGAGAGAAGTGAGATGATTGACAAAGAGATGGCCATTTCTGATGGACTTAGTGAAATGAGTGTCTGACAGATGGAGTGCTGTAGAAATGCATAGGGTGTGAGGATCCTCTCCAAATTTGGAAGGCAGAATCATGTGGCTGAGCACTTTAAGCAAGTGTCAGAATGGAGCCAATATCTTTGGAAATGGTGGAGATATGACAAAAACTGGAATGCCATACACAGGCACTAAAAACTTTCAATGTGTGCTTAACTTGCTTCCTCTTTTCTCTTTAGCACTGATAACTCATTCTTGTGCAAAGGATGACTGCATATGTCCAGAAGTCTTTCTACACATGAGGCCTTTAGTCTTCATCTGCTTGGCATGGGCATTGTGTGCAACTTATTGATGAGTTAGGCAGAGTCAGCTGTAACCATGTCCACAACACCTTTTGGGTGTGAGAGCACCCATGCTCATTGATCACAACCTTTGCTGCATAGTTGATCTTGCCATCAAAGTTGGGGTTGGCCAGTTGGTGCTCAAGGACAATCTTGGGATCATGAAACCATACATCATACTTAGCCATCATCCAGGAAGGTGGATTGTCAGGTATGGCACCTGAATACTTAACCAAGAATGATTTCCTTGGCACATCACCATGTATCATCACATCAGTAGTACTATATAGGTGCTTGTGTGAGGAGAAGGGGGGGTCCTCATTATAGAGTGTGGCAATGATTCCTAGAAGTTCATTGATCTTCAATGGTGACATCTGTTCATGTCAGTACAGAAATTCTGCAAACTCAAATGCCACCCTACTCTCATATGGAGAGAAGTTATCTGGCAATTGTCTTGGTCTCAAGGTGGGCAGAGAGTTCAGTGGCAGATATTGCCTGTTTCAATCACATGAAGTACCTGAAATGGACCACTGTATGAGAAAGTGATAATAATATAGCATGAAACTTACCATCAAGTATGGGGTGATAAGACACCATGCACTGGCCTGGCTGTTGCAGTTCAATTCTAGTAAGAGTTAACATTCTTGTCCCCACTTGGATCATCAGGGCAATCCACATTCTCCCAGTCATCAACACCAGCCAGTAGCTAAGGGGATGGTGATTGTCAAACACTTGGGTGATGTGATCACTGAAGATGATGCTTGAGCCCCCCACATGTCATACACATCTTGGCACACCCTCTGAGTCCACAGACATAGGGATGGTGATGGAATGGTCGATGTGATAGATGGCAGGGCATGAACTGACTTGTGATGTTTGAGTTGTGATGACTAGGTAATACTGTGCAATGATAAGGACTGTCATTGGAGTACACAGCCACTCTTGTGACACAAACAAACTAAGTCTGAGAAATAGGCAGAACTGCATCACATGAAACATAAGTTTGACACAGTCCTGATTAGGTTGGATAGCATTTTCACTATGGTTTGGGCCAGACATAATCTTAAAGACTTTTTTTTTTTGAAACTGTAGTGGATGCAAGTGAAATGCATCTTAACATTCGGAAGCAGTGCTTAATGTACTGTTTTTTTGCAAAGTTCAACTCTCACTGTCATATTATTATAGCGATGACCAAGGAGTTTGCACATCCCAAGTGTAAGTCCCACCCCTAACTCCAGATTACTTCAGGTTACTACATATAAGCCTTGGCCTCCACATCGCATTGGCATTGCCAATGTGTTGACTCCACAAATGATGTAAACAGTCTGGGCAATAGGCATTGGTCACAACCAGCACAAGTGGTCATGCCTCACCTGCAAGGACAACAAGTGGCAAGATGTCCATTCTGCTCAATGACATCAGAAAACCACCCTCCATCAAGAGAACATTGGCCACCTTCTATCCCCTCATCTTCACCCTTCAAGTTCCCCACCCTGACCTGACCTGACCTCACCCCTGCTTAACCTTTTAGCAGATTTCTCAGAATCAGGATCCCCTCCTCATGGCATGCCATGGGCAGCTACACCCTCTAATAACAGTGGTAGTTTTCAACTTGACTGGGATGCCATTGACCACAAACAGGTCTATTTACCATCTGCACACGATGAGCAACTAACAATGATGGCCAGCAGCTTGGCTGCATGGTTGGCCACCAGTGATAATGTGATCTCCTCTGATGAAGATGTGTCCAACTCCCCCAATGTTGAAGGCAAAGAATATTGTCCTGGTAAGAAGCAATATATGCTTGTCACAGGTTATTGAATGCACTGATCCTTCCAAAGAGCTGCTTCAGCCAGGTGCAACATGCTCGTCTCAGTGTGCAGGTGATGCTGCACCTGCAAATCCTGCATGGTTCCCATGGCCTGATAAACAGGTACATCATTTCATATATAATGAGAGCATCATTTCACTCAATTGACAGACATGCATACTCAATATTCTATGGCACCTCCTGCATTTGTTATTTTCAGATGTGCAACTTCAGGTCATCCTCTGGGGACTTGCAATCCTCAGAGTTGATAATGTTCCCTCCATGAAGATGCTCAAAGATATTGACAATTCCCTCCAGGCCCAATATGGGATTCCATCAGTCCATTATCAAGGTGCACTTGGCCATATCTATTATGTCAACCACCTGCCTTCTATCATCACACAAGTAAGTTCATTTTTTAGCTTGCAATTCATTAACCAATAACAGTGCACCCTTCCAGGAAATGGTGAACCCATGCATCCACCCACATATCCACCATTACCCTGAAGATGCTGGGGGGTGACTTGACCAGCCATGGCAAGCAACAAGGTGGCTGTATGAGATTGATCCCACTGTTGCCACACCCATGATTCACAGAGGCTGTCAAGATTTTTATGTGTTTGAGATGGTGAAGTTGATGGATGGCACAATGGTCATTCCTGAGCACTGGTATACAAAACCCTCTGCATTACTAACTTCTCCTCCCTTGGAGCTTGAGTATTGGGCCCACGCATGGTGAGCTCACCCCATTGTGAGTGGTCACACATTGTCACACACCAAAGGTGTTTGGTGAGGTGGACATGGATACAGCTGATGAACGGAGATGAAGACCATAGCCCTCATGTGAAGAAGGACAGCCAGAAATGTCAGCAGTCATCCCTTGCACAAGAACAAGTCATCAGTGCCAGAGAAAAAGAAAGGGAGCAAGTTAAGTGCTGGCTAAAATTCTTAAGTGCCCATGTATGGCATTCTGGTTTTTGACATATCTCTGCCGTTTCTGCAGATACAGAGACTGTTCCCACACTTGCTTGTAGTGCTCAGCCACGTGATCTTACCTTCCAAAATTGGAAAGGATTTGCACACTCCACACATTTCTACAGCACTCCCTCCAAAAGATGCTCATTTCGCTAAATTCTTCTGATATGGCTGCCTCTACATCAATCATTTCACTTGTCCCCTTTGCTAGGGACCATGGCTACATATATCTACAAGGAGTTCCTACCAGCTTCTGTCCTGAAGCATCCTGGTATATCCCACCCTTGTCTGTGCCCTCTCAGCCCATCCAGCTTGGACAGCATGTTCTTTTTGTTAGTATGACCTCTAGGAGGATGTTCTTTGGTCGCCTCAGGTCATCATTCACTTGGAAAGGTCTTATGTGGTCATTTCAGTCTCTCCAGTCCAAGAAGCATATGGATCCTTCCTCCCTGCTCCCTGCAATGTCTTCATACCTGTCTTGTCCATCATTCTTCCAAGATTGCAACAGCTACAGTATAATCTACTGTTCTCCACTCTCCCTGATCACATCCATGATGAGTATGATGCACATCTTGCCTCCTTGTTGCAAGATACAGCAGAAGACACTCCCCCTTCATCCTCTCTTCCAACAGAGCCTCACTCATGAAGTTGTTATTTGCTTCACTGAGAGGATGGTTTGGGGGGGAAAGTTGTGATCCCCTATGCTCCTGTCACCCCACAGACCCCCAAAGCTTGACCCCTGTTGACACCTGACTCACCCTGTCCACTTTTAGATGTACTATATTGGCATCAGATCAGTCCTGCCTCTCTGTCATCCCACCTTGGCTTAGAAGCAATCTCTTTGAGATGTGACATGCACAGCCTCCCCCTAATGTGATTCCAGTGCACTTTCCCAGTTCCTGACATCACTTGACTCATACTTTGATGTTCTGACTGTCTTTGGCTCACCTATTGCCAATACTTACCAATCTTTTGACTTTGCTTACTGATTCTTTGCTTTTTGGCTTGCTAATCCTTACCAATGCTTACCAATGCTTTCCAAGATGATTACCCATTGCTTACATTCCTTACTTGTTGGTTACCAGTCACTTACCAAGTGTTTGCACCTTGTTTTCCAAGGGCAACACCCCTGTACTGTATATAAATCACTGTACTTAGATAGCAAAAAAAGAAGACATCAGAGAGCCCCTCTTGCTTGCATTTTATCATCACTCAGTAATTCATTCAGCAGCTTTGATAGTTGAGACTTTATTAAGGATCTAACTATCATCTACTTCGCTTATCCTTGTCTATCATCAATATACTTTGCTCCAAGCCCTCCCTGAGCTCGGTGCAGCTCAGGACATTGAATTAAGCTGCCATCCATCCTTCTGTAGGCTGACAGCAGTCTACCCTATTGCTTTCTATCACATTCTTGCTCCCTCTTTGTCAGGAGCACCCCCAACCCTCAGCACTCGTCCTTGAGTGTTGTAGCTTGCAAAAAAACCCACCCAAATCAAAGGTTCTACCATCTAGGTACCACATAGGCACACCGCCACTCGCTCTTTTTGTCTTTTGTGTTGGTTTTGGTTGGTTTTCACCACTGAACCACACTTTGACTCACAACATGTGGATATGTTATCCACACATATGATACCATCAAGGTGCTGGCAAGCAGTCTTCTCCTCTCATTTCCACACCGGCTTCAAATGCATCAGATCAATGGTCAACCCAACCTGTGCAATATCATAGGTGTGTATCGCGCCCATCCTTCCCCTCTGTTTGTTTCAGACTCAGTATGCATTAGGTTTGATAGAGCCAAGAGGACATGGTGTCCTCCCATGGACATTGACTGATCCTGTGGTTGGGAATATATGGCACATGCATGTGAAGGGGCATGGTGTCCTCAGTTACATGATATGGCTTTATTGTGATGACACCTCCAGAAATATGTTGAAGAAGTGGAACAAACACAACTCATTTCTCTTCACTGCAGCTGGTCTCTGACATGCTCTGGTCCACAAAAAGAGCAACATCCATTTCCTTGCTACATCTAACACCACTCCCCCCCTAGAAATGCCTGATGGTATTGTGGCCCAACTTGAGTAAGTTTTATTTCAGCCCTTCCAACCATGTCAGGCTTTCACTGCATTGTGCTACAGACATGCACAAATGCATGGCATTTGGGCTTGGGACATAGATGCAAGGGAGATGGTTCTTGTGATCCCTGCTGTCCTGGCAATGCTTGGTGACAATCTGATCCAGAGCAAACTTGCATGCCATGTTGGTCTGCAGGGTAAACTTTTTTGTTGCAATTGCTGGGTGTGAGGGGTAGGGGCAGAATCAAGTGAACACCCACAGGTGCTGTGAGTCAAAGTGTGGTTCAGTGATGAGAACCAACCAAAACCAACACAAAAGACAAAAAGAGTGAGTGGCGGTGTGCCTATGTGGTACCTAGATGGTAGAACCTGTTCTTTGGGAGGGCTTTTGTGAGCTACAACACTCAAAGACAAGTGCTGAGGGTTGGGGGTGCTCCTGACAAAGAGGGAGCAAGAATGCAATAGAAAGCAATAGGGTAGACTGCTGTCAGCCTACAGGAGGATGGATGGCAGCTTAATTCAATGTCCTAAGCTGCACTGAGCTCAGGGAGGGCTTGGAGCAAAGTATATTGATGATAGACAAGGATAAGTGAAGTAGATGATAGTTAGACCCTTAATAAAGTCTCAACTATCAAAGCTGCTGAATGAATTACTGAGTGATGATAAAATGCAAGCAAGAGGGGCTCTCTGATGTCTTCTTTTTTTGCTATCTAAGTACAGTGATTTATATACAGTACAGGGGTGTTGCCCTTGGAAAACAAGGTGCAAACACTTGGTAAGTGACTGGTAACCAACAAGTAAGGAATGTAAGCAATGGGTAATCATCTTGGAAAGCATTGGTAAGCATTGGTAAGGATTAGCAAGCCAAAAAGCAAAGAATCAGTAAGCAAAGTCAAAAGATTGGTAAGTATTGGCAATAGGTGAGCCAAAGACAGTCAGAACATCAAAGTATGAGTCAAGTGATGTCAGGAACTGGGAAAGTGCACTGGAATCACATTAGGGGGAGGCTGTGCATGTCACATCTCAAAGAGATTGCTTCTAGGCCAAGGCAGGACGACAGAGAGGCAGGACTGATCTGATGCCAATATAGTACATCCAAAAGTGGACAGGGTGAGTCAGATGTCAACAGGGGTCAAGCTTTGGGGGTCTGTGGGGTGACAGGAGCATAGGGGATGGCAACTTTCCCCCCCAAACCATCCTCTCAGTGAAGCAAATAAAAACTTCATGAATGAGGCTCTGTTGGCAGAGAGGATGAATGGGGAGTGTCTTCTGCTGTATCTTGCAACAAGGAGGCAAGATGTGCATCATACTCATCATGGATGTGATCAGGGAGAGTGGAGAACAGTAGATTATACTGTAGCTGTTGCAATCTTGGAAGAATGATGAACAAGACCGGTATGAAGACATTTCAGAGAGCAGGGAGGAAGGATCCATATACATCTTGGACTGGAGAGACTGAAATGACCACTTAAGACCTTTCCAAGTGAATGACAGACCTGAGGCAACCAAAGAATGTCCTCCTAGAGGTCATACTGACAAAAAGAACATGCTGTCCAAGCTGGATGGGCTGAGAGGGCACAGATGAGGGTGGGATGTACCAGGATGCTTCAGCATGGAAGCTGGTAGGAACTCCTTGTAGATATATGTAGCCATGGTCCCTAGCAAAGGGGACAAGTGAAATGATTGATGTAGAGGCAGCCATATCAGAAGAATTTAGCGAAATGAGCATCTTTTGGAGGGAGTGCTGTAGAAATGTGTGGAGTGTGCAAATCCTTTCCAATTTTGGAAGGTAAGATCACGTGGCTGAGCACTACAAGCAAGTGTGGGAACAGTCTCTGTATCTGCAGAAACGGCAGAGATATGTCAAAAACCAGAATGCCATACATGGGCACTTAAGAATTTTAGCCAGCACTTAACTTGCTCCCTTTCTTTTTCTCTGGCACTGATGACTTGTTCTTGTGCAAGGGATGACTGCTGACATTTCTGGCTGTCCTTCTTCACATGAGGGCTATGGTCTTCATTTCCATTCATCAGCTGTATCCATGTCCACCTCACCAAACACCTTTGGTGTGTGACAGCACCACAACCAGACAATGACACTTGTTCCATTGAAACTGCATCACACATGACTGACTCAGACAGGTCCACTCATGGGGTGTCACACAATGGCTGAAAGGCAAGGGCCACTGCTCAGAGACAATCCAAGGTCTTGTCAATTGAGCAAGGTGTTTCCTTGGAGTAAGTATACAATTTGTTAGGTTAAGGTATACTGATGTCTCAACATGCTCAAGGCCAACACACCTTGCACCCAGCAACACATGGTGGAGAAACTCTGTAGCATGTTCCATGAAGTCACCAGCAGCATGGGCAAGACAGGACATGTGAAAATGAAGACTGACATGGGCATTAAAGATACATACATGGACGTGTTCATCACACAGATCCTCAAGCATGTCAAAGGCATTCATGTGGGAACAGACGGATTTACTGAGGCTGTCAATGCAATTTCACAAGGCCGTTCAGTGGAGGAATTCATGAGTCCTGTTTGGAGGATCAAAGGTAAGAATCCTCTGCATTGGTTGCATCATTTCATCACTCACTTACTCAACTTCAGGCCTTGATCCCCATCAAGACACCCCTGTGGAAGTCCTGCATGTCATCTTACTTGGATTCATGAAGTATTTCTGGGATGATGCCATCTCCAGGATGAATGACAATTAAAAAGCAGTGCTCCAGGTTCAATTGGCATCATTCAATACCTTGGGACTCAGCATCCCTCCATTGGCAGCCCAAATGTTCATTCAATACTCTGGGTCTCTCACTGGATGTGATTTCCATGCCATATTCCAAGCAGTGCCCTTTGTACTCTATGACCTTGTTCTGCATGAGTGCTACAAAGCATTTCTGGTGCTATCATCTCTGGTCCCCCTTGTTTGGCAACCATGGATTGACAACATCGACAGGCACCTGGTATGTTGTACATCAACTCTTTGCTAAGACCAAGCACAACTAATGTACTTTTAGGCCGACTTGCGTGCTGTGATTGACCACTTCCTCAACTGCATGGCCCACTGGATGCCACAATGGTTCAATAAGCCAAAGTTTCACATTCTTCGGCACCTCCCTGACCACATCCAGCATTTCGGTCCTGCAATCCTATTTGCTACAGAAGGGTTTGAATCTTACAACGCCATGATCCATGACCACAGTATTCACAGCAACAGAAAAGTGCCTTCCTGAGACATTGCCTGTGGAATGGCATGATGTAATCATGTCCACCATCTTTTGTCCAGTGGTAAATTCCATGCTCAAGGACTCACTGAACTCCCCTACAGTGATAATGAGCATGAGTGGCTGGTGCCTCACTCTGAGGTCAAGTCACTGACCAGCCTTGACATCCCAACGTTCTGCATTGTCATCGCAGATTACTTTGGGCTCACAGATGATAGAGATCCCCTTGAAGCTGGTGAGTCAATCATGCTTCTGTGGAATACATGAACTTAGTGATATCATTCACATGCCAGGTTGATGCATGCATGACAAGTCACATACACGGCCACTTGAGAAGACAAATACAGCATTACAGGTCCCATATGCACTGCCTCAGGTCGAATGTCATCTTTATCAAACTTGTTGCTCCATCGTTGCAACAAATGGTGAAATATGCCACCTTGGAGACTTTGTCCTTGCATGAGAGCCTCGTGCTGCTGGCCAGGAACTCCCCCTCATCAGATCTCTTCATGAAATTCTTCAGATTTGTCACTCACCAGCCCAACAGCGCAATCAAGTGAACTGGCTATTACTCAAGACATTCAAAGTGACTGGCTCCACAGATATCTATCACCTGCCATGCATTCAGCCACTTGGTTGGGTCATATTACCAGCAACAGTAAGTGGACTTTTTTTTGTATGGACTTTGTTCTGATTGCACTTCATTCCAGGCTGTTATATGTTGTGTCAATGTCCAGCACAATTGTGCAGGACATGGATGCACTGGTTCATCTACAGTATTGGTATACAAAGAATGCAAGAAAATGATGAAGACTGCAAAATGGATTGAGCACTGTGAACCCTTGGACCTTATACTGAACACCACACAGATGTGTGATGCCTCTCATGTGCAATGGTTCTGCACTCTGGTACAACAGTTGGATCATGATTGGGCAATCCACACTGGCACAGCTGCTGAGTTCAATGCACAGAAAATCAAGATGCTGAAAACCTCATGAGCCAATGCTACAAAACAACCTCCTAGAAGCATGTCCCAGGCAGTACCGACACACTTTATCAACATGTTCCATCAGACTGGTAAGTCCATACATCTTCACTGGTCAATCCACACATTTGACTGTGAGATGCAGATTCCTCATGACCATGTGTTACACATGACTCAATATTGCATGGTGAGTGTCAATCAACCTCTCAGAAATTGCTGACAGTGCAATTTTTTTTAACAGATGACACTGTTTGGTCAGCCCCAATACCTGGACCTCATATAAGACAAGTCATCCCCCTTCTTTTTTTTCCAACTCTCACAATCAAGTTCTCATACAGATCAGTCCATGTCACAGCAGCACAATCAATATGGCCACCATGTCACCTTTGAAGATCTGGGAAAAAGCTTCCCAACACCACAGCTCAGGTCACATCAGAGCATGACAGGTAAGCTTCATGTAATTGGTCAAGATAGAAGATTCAACCCACATGTCAAGGAACACCATGCCTTTCACAGGTGACCACATCATGCACAACCAACACATCTTAGGTGACTCCCAATGTCTTGAATGCGACATGTGTGATGACTCCTGATGCATCTCATATGTTGCCTGGTCTTCCAGGTTCTGATGTGTTGTGTCCAATATCAAGGGCATCTGACAATGAGTTCCAAAGCCAGTTTTCATATGGCAGTGGTGTCGGGGATGTGCTGACAACCCCTGCTCACACACACACATCCTCCATGTCTGACAATGTTGACAGGGGAATCAAGCTTCCAGAGGTCAAGCAGCTGAAGCTGTGGGCACAGAAAGTCACAACCAAGTTCGAACTCAAGGCATCTCAGTTCTTAGAGCTCAGCATGCTCATTGATGCAAGTGCTGTATTTGACAATTAATGTTCATACTGATATTTCTCTGTGTGCCCAGGTCAGCAAGACCTTCCAGACTGGTGACCTTAGCCTGTGAATCTGGCAGCAGGCGACCAACTACAGGGTGTTAAATGGGATTGAGGAGATCAAGACTGACTCAGCAAATACAAAGAATGCTGTGGAGACAGCCATGGCAGGGCTCCAAAGTGGGTTCCAACTTAATGTTGACCAGACAGTTTGTTGTTTACTGATTTCATTATGGTGCATGCTGACTGATATTTATATACTTGTAGGTTTTTCAACTCAATCGTTGCTCAGGATCAAGAACTGTATGGCAAGAACATTGGATCCATCCTACCGCCTCTCCCCAGCATCTACACAGAATCACCAGCTACTGTTTCTTCTGCCCCTTGCACACTGCCTACTCCCAGAAATCACAGTGCATCTTGTATAGCCCAGCCATCTGTCATTAGGCAATCCTCCAAGGCCAATGCATCACTGCAACCCACCTGCAGTTATTGCTCGGAGGGTTTGCATGCCAAGGACAGTAATGAGGATCTGCTGAGTGAGAATTTCTAGTATTAATGGGCCATTATCTATGCTTTACTATTTCTATGTTAACCTATGTATTGATTTATGTATACATGCAAACTATGTGTTTTTTATGTGTGGGGTGAATGAGCATACTGTGATCGGGTGAAATTGGGAGCACGATGGGCAGCCCAAATTGACAGCTCTGGAAATTGTGTCAGCCTCATATAACATTTGGAGCAGGCACATCTGTCATCAATATCTGTCAAACACAATCTGTATGTCAAAGTGTCTGGTCACAATTTTCTAGGTGTCAGGCTCATGTCATTGTCAACACAATCCTGATTGTGTCTACAGGGTGGCCATGTACATATGTCAAAATGAACTGCACAGTCCCAATAAACATGTGGCTGAGGCAAAAAAAGCAGAGGCCCTCGCCTACCTCATGGAATTTGTCTGACTACACTGTGAACCTACAGACCATGAGTAGCCAGCAATTGCATTCTATCAGCACCTGAGCATCTAATAAAAATGCACACCCTGGAATTCCTGACTTACCTGCACCATGGCAGACAACAGAGGTCATCCAGGCAGAAAAGGCTGCAAAGGCAGTGGCCAACATTCAATGGCAGGCTTACATTCAAGTAGGTATCAAACATGCTGCATCAATCAAAGACAATCTCACTTGTAAGAACACAGGACAGACAAAAAGATTCAGGAAACCTACCTCTGCCTTTTCAAAGAAGAAATGGACTCCACCATTAGGGGACTCCAAGACAGGTGGATGGGCCATGGTACATCAAGATCTAGAAGATGACTTAGATAACATTGTTGACCAAGGTAAGAACTGTCCTACCAGCAAGATAATTGGAACTTACTTACTGTTGATGGTGTAGATGGTGTATCAAGTCCAAGTGGATCGGACTTTGAGCCAGAGGGACAAGAGGAAGACAATGAAGATGACAAGATTGCAGAGAATGGCAGTGATACACACCCACTCATGGAAGCTTCCAAAGTGAGAACAAAGCTAGTCAAAGCCACACATGAAGGCATTATGCAAGCATGCCAATCCATTGACTCTGAGACCTATAGTGGCACATCCAGCAGAGAGAAATGCAAGGCACCTGCTGGAGGGATGATGCCTGGGTGAGACAGTTCCTACTGTTACAATGATTATATGCTTACAATCCTGGTCATTTCAGCCTGACTGCCAAGAAACACAACTCAGGCATGGCTGACACTCAAGCCAGTGTCAATTGCACACCAAAGACACCACTGGCAAATGGTCTGAAACCTGAATTCCATTCAAGCAAAGCCAACAGACAATCAAAGTCATCTGCCCAGCCCATCAGTTACTTGTCTCAATGGGAAACAACACTCTCTGGGCTGTTCCATTCAAAGGGTCATCCCTCCTCCCCAGCTGAGTTTAACTTTGGTGGTTTGCCCAGTTACAAAGATGATTCCTTTGACCAGCCATTGAGCATGACAATGCAGGCTCCTTCGAGAAGACAGGATGAAGCTCTGGAAGTAATTTCATGCCAGTATGCTCTATCCATCTTCATAGTATTACATGATTTACACTAACCCCCAGCAGCAGCCCACTGCAAAGGTCATACTGGGTGCACCACAAAATCATCTTTCCCAGTCATCTGTCATCATGAATGCAGTAACATCCTCCAAGTCTTGTCAGGCCCCTTCCAATCTGGACTTACCTGCAGGATCTCAACACATCTTTGTCACACAATTTGTACCCATCCTGTGGAAATATATTGGAATGAGAGAGAACCCTCAGATTACAGATGCACTGATTGAGCCCATTCAGGTACTTTTGGATGCTCTCATGGTAGACTGGCCACACAAGTTCTCTGATGAGAATGATCTCATTGTAGAAATATCTGTAGGCTACCTCAGTAGTGAACAAACTACTGAGTGTATTACTGTACCTGTAGGCTACTACAGGATGTCAGTATAGTAGAATACTGGTAATATGAACAGACTTACCCTCAGTAGTGAACAAACTACTGAGGGAATACTAGTAGAAAATACTACAAGTATGTGCGCTATTTCAGCTTATGTAAGCAGCCAAAACATCGCACACACAGTGAGTTTTCCACTATATAGTACCATGTTATATGTAATACAATATGTCAATCTCACACTTAGAGCTTGTGATGGCATACTGAAAAAATCCATACTTGAAGTTTAGATCCTTTTCTACACATTTGCTCAGGTTTGAAGTCAGAGCAAATATCTAATCATTGTGTAAACAATAAGTATGGTTGAATAGCAGATGTTGTCCAAGATAGGAAGTTATGTCAACATGTGCAGTGTGGAGTGAAACTTTAAGTTCTGTCCTAATTTGCATAACTGACAATACACAAAGTACAGCCAAAATTCCAGTAGCAAATTTTACTTCAAGTCTAGAATTCACTGGGGGCATTATCTAATGGTTTAAGTCTAAACATAGTAAAACCATTGAATTAAGCAGATACTATTTTCATGACATGTGCTTTGATATAACATTGGTCCTCAATGGATAACATGCTCTGATGTAATGTCCTAGGTCAGAAAATTGGGTAGTATCATATAGGATGCTTTTCATAGGAACATCCAAAATGTTTATTCTCATGATTAGAGCATAAATCATTGTAGAAATACTCTCACTGCTTAGTCATATGTTCAAACCATGATTTTGAAACAAAACATTTGAAAGTTCTGGCCTTCAGAACATATTATACTACTCAAGCCAAAACATTAGGTAGAACACAGTATATTTTCCACCCTAAAAACATAAGTCAAACCAACGGTCAATTCTGCCATTGGTGAAACAGCCAATTACTCATTATGACAATGGTCAACTCTGCCATTGGTGGAATGGGCGATTGCTCAATATGAGAATGGCTTAGTTTCAAATGTCCAATGGTCAAATGGTGCAATTGGTCCATTCAAATGAATGAATGAATGGATCTACTGTGAGCACCATACCTATGTTGGAGTTGCACCTATATCAGTTCTGCCTATGTTCAAGTTGCACTTATGTTGGATTTGTACTTATGTCAGAGCTGTATGTAGGTCAGAGTTGTACTTATGTTGGAGTTCTGCCTAGGTCAGAGTTGTACATATGTTGGAGTTGTTCCTGTGGAACATGACAGATGGGAGTGGCTCAGCAGAATGCCCATCATTGAATACAACTGAACCTGAACTGGTGATGGTAAGGGACTCACTGATGAGCAGGGAGAAGGGAAGAAACACAGAGATCAAACCACACCATCCCAAGTTACATGCAAAGTGTTGCACAGCCTTCCAAATACAAATGTGGGCCCATCTCCACAACAGCTGTGTAAAACTAGATGAATGAAGTGCCCCCAGGAAGGGCTCAGTGGCGGTCATGAATGGCCTGAAAAGCGAAAGGAATAGCAGAAAACCACATGAAATACAACCCCAGGACCTCCCATTATAAAAACAACCACATGCCTGTGAAACTGATGTGCAAGATGGGTCAATCAAGGCTGTTTCAGAATGCAAAAAAAAGGGTGACTACGAGGGGGTGACAACACAGTTGAAGGCAACACAGCATGGGTGCAGCTGGCTATGACATTGGGAGACTGGTTGATGAGTCAAGCAATTGGCTGTATGGCCAACTGACCACTGATGAGCATGAGTGATGGTGTATCTGGATGAGAGCACACTGATGATTACACTGGTACTGGCTCGGGTGGCTGACACCCAGGCAGCAAGCCTGCTGCAAGTACACGCAGTGATGTGCTTGCTTTGTATGGTGGCTATGCAACTGGTTGGTGACAAGGGCATGTGACAAACAAGCTCTCCTAGTCCATGCTGTCTGAGTGCATGTAATGCCAGGCATGAGAACAATGGACTGTGAGCATGCATAGATGCTGAGGGGATGAGAATGTCCAGGTGTCAAATTACAAGATGGCATAGTTGGTACAGTTGATGTGCAATACTAGTAGAGATGTCAGACAGACACATGATTTTGCTGCAAGGAGCTTCTTCAAGAATCACATTTGACATAAAATTGCTGTATGAAAATGCACAAGCAACTCAATTGCCTTTAAGTTGTGTAACAACCTATGCATCCACAGTGAGGCTAGACCATGGACAACCCTACTACTCAAACAGAGGGCTGGACTACCACTGATGCTGGAGATAGCAAGGGTCAGTGATGAATGGTTGAGAATAGAAAAGACCCACCAAAAATGGAAGCATGGCCAACTAAGGCTGAGAGCAAAAAGGATGGCAACACCAGTCGCAATGCAGTGAGCACCAATGATGCTGACTTGCATGGAACCAATCATGTGCCACTATCTTTGACTGGAACTCGACATGCCTATGGAGATGCTCATGATGAGCCTGGGAAGCACAAAGAGGCACGAACAGTTGAGACATTGCAAGTTGAGCAAAAATGCATGCCAAAGATACCACAGAAATCCTACAATAATGCAGTACTAGCCATGACAAGGACTCATTGTACTAATGGAGATGCCAATGACAGGCTAGGGGAGTACAGTGAAGTGCAAGAGGGTGAGACACTATGAGATGAGCACAACCATGTGCCAGCATTGTCACAAAAATCCTACAAAGGCACTGCAACCTGCCAGGAGGTCAATGGAGATGTTGAGGCAAGCACAACAAATCTAGAGATAAGGTGGACCAACCCTGAAATGGCAGGGGTACGAGCACATCTGTTGAATGCAGAATCATGGCCAAGAGAAGCCAGTGATGGAGGGAGCTACAAAGGTTGGCATGCACAGAATGTCTTGCTTGATGAGACTGGGAGCCTGGGCAAGTATGGGGGGAAACTTGGAGGATGGCTGAGATATCAAATACAGAATTTCAGCCAGGGACCCAATGGCAAGTGATACAGTGGCAGTAGCAATGACGCTATAAGGGCCAGCACTGTCTGTTACCACAGAGCAGAGAAAATGAACCTACCTGGCACCCGGAGTCAGAGTGTTCGAAAGCAGACAAGAAATGGCTGAATGGCTCACCTGCACTGTCTGAGCCACCTCTGGACTTTATCACAGACATTGATGTGCCAGGATCAAAATCAACCTATGAAGCATCAGTCAAGCATGTACAAACAAAAACATGCACCATACTGCCAATATTACCTTCAAGAGAACTCAAATTACCTTAACAACACCCTTGACAAAGTACCTCTCAATCCTCAACACAAACATCCTTCCAGTCCACTCCTCCTCTTCCAAGTGACCCTCTCCATCTCCATGTACCCAGGGAACAGTATCAAGTCTGCATGCACATACCCACTGGGTCTTTCTCTCCACACCAAATGGAGTGTCTGTCATCCCCACTAGAGAATACAATGGCACCTTTAGTGAGGTCTGCATAACATGTTGACATTGTATGGTGACAGGAATGAATGTGAATGCAAGCAGTGAGGTATACTAATGGGGAACTGACAACTTGGGACATACCCCATATGAGCATAGTGAAGATGGCATCCTCAAAGCTTCCATTGTCATGTCCACTTCATCTGGTCACATTGTCCATCATTGCTTGGTAGGCCCAGAGTAAGGATCAGCTTTGACAAGGTCCTCTAAGACAAAGGAAAACTTTGCCACAGAAATTTAGGGTTGTATCCATCTCAGGTGAGCACTTGAGTGTCTGCACTAGGGGTGAGAGCTGAGATCTGAGAATCTAAACTTAGATTATCTAATGTTCACATGACTATTACGAAGTTCATTGTGCACAAGATCACAAATAGCTATGGTGCCAGGCAGCCTATGGATTGTAAAGGTAGTAGCATGCCACTTCCAGTAGAACACTGAAATGCACATCACATGTAATGGAAGTAAAGTAAGAATATTATCCCTTGATTGGAATGTTGTCATGGGTATCAGTAATTACAAGCTAGGATAGCAGTGACATCCTGCAGTAAGTATCATTACCATTGCCCTTCTGCAGGTCAAGTATTGGAGACCGATGCTGCACCATCATGCAGGTAACATGCTGCCAAAGTGGGTGAGCAGCTACTCCTTGCCAACTGTTGAAAATCTGCACTCACCCATCTCATCAGTCATAATAGCATCTGTTGCAATCTCCATGCATTCCTCAACATAGCCAAGGGCACCTTGTCCAAACATGTCCTGCATTCACAAGATCATGACCATAAAACACAATGACTGAAAAGAAAATAAATATGTATGAGTCTCTCCCATGAGATAACCTCACCAGCCTCCAGAGCCCAAAGACTATCAGTAACATCAGTAGGGGACTCATCACAATGATGCATAGGGATGCTCACATTTTCTTGTTGGAGATATATGTATTCTCCTCTGTGTGCTGCTTGCTTTGGTGCGATGTTTGGCTGCTTATATAAGCCATTAGAGCGCACTTAAGAGTCCATATGGTATGTTCGCATAGTCTCGCTACACAGTTGCTTGCCAGCTTTGGTATTTTACTTTGTTTGTGATCCTGGCAAGCCACTGCTCTGCCATGCTGCAGAGTTTGTATTTTGAACTGCTCTGATGATGATGGATAGTGAACCCCTGGAACCCCTCCTACTGATTATCGCAGCACTAGCAACACTCGTCAGTGAGTCTTGCCTTGAGCTAGTGACTGAAGATATGCCCTCCGATAAGAGTCCATATGGTATGCTCACGTAGTCTCACTACACTCTTTGACAATTCTACAGAGATATATTGGGTGATTAGTAAGAATGGTCTGAAATTGGAAGTTGACTGCCAGCTGTGATGCTCATATTGTGCTCATATTGCTGATCAATGCTCGGCATGCAGCCATGGACAATGAAGAAGCACATCAATCACGAGAGCTCATACAAGAGAAGGCCCTTGTTGTTGTCCAGATTCTTACCAAACCAATGGTCGATCTCCTCTCTGGAGAGATCCCTAAGAATATATGGCCATACCACACATCTGCGCTTTCTGGAGAGGCTTGGTTGGTTGAACTGATCCTTGGTCACCCAGACTGTATATGTTGCAAGT